TCTACAAGAACTGCACTGACACCCTGGTACCATATTTCACCTATCTATTCAACACCACATTCACCTACCGAACATATTATGATCCATGGCGACATTTCACCACAGTAGTGCTCCACAAACCAGGTAAACCGGACTACACCATACCAAAAGCTTACAGACCTATTGCACTGCTCAACACCATGGGCAAATTGCTAACAGTGGTAGTAACCAAACACATGACGTTTATCCTAGAGCACTATAACCTACTCCCCAGCACTCATTTCGGAGGCAGGCCAGGACGCTCAACCACCGACTCATTGCACCTACTCGAAGAAACAGTGAAAAATGCCTGGAGGTCAGGCAAGGTAGCCTCAGCCCTCTTCTTGGACATAGAAGGGGCCTTCCCCAATGTGGTCACCTCACGCCTCCTTCATAATATGTGTAGGTGGAGAATACCAGATAAACTAATATGTTTCACAGAACAGGTCCTATCAAATCAACAGACTCAGTTGCGTTTCGACAGATACATGTCAGACTGGATCCCCATCAATAACAATATTGGTCAAGGCAACCCTCTTTCTATGATTCTATATGTTATCTACAGCTCTGACCTGGTTGATATAGCCAAAGTGCGCTTAGGATGCAAATCACTTACTGAATTAACACTCACATTTGTAGATGACACAGCACTTATTGCTGTTGGTAAGGATTTTCATTCCACTCATAGAATACTGACAGACATGCTAGAATGTCCTAATGGAGGCCACAAATGGTCCACAAGCCACAATTCTAAGTTTGAGACTAACAAGTTTGCCCTCATAGACTTCTCAATGAACCGCACCCGCATCTGTCCCAATATGCACATTCAAGGCGCAATCATCCATCCATCCACTACACACTGCTTCCTAGGCATAATAGTAGACCAAGAACTACAATGGAAGGCACAAGTTGACAACGCAGTAGCCAAAGGGCTCGCGTACCTATTCCAACTATGCCGTCTATCCTCAGCAGCCAAAGGTATCCTGCTACAACTCATGCGTCAATTATATCAAGCCATAGCAATTCCCAAGATGACCTATGCCGCTGACCTGTGGTACACACCAGCATACCATACTGGATCCGACACTCCACAAAGAGGCTCCATCGGGGTGGCCAAATGCCTGTCCTCGGTACAATGCATCGCTGCCCTAGCAATCATGGGTGTGATGAGGACCACAGCTACTGACACCCTCAAAGCCCATGCCAACCTGTTGCCCATCTCCCTACTTCTGCAGAACATATGTAACAGAGCCATAACATGCATCGCCTCCCATCCACAAATGCATCCCTTACATCTCCCAATCTGTCGCACTGCTCGTCATTTCGTAGGATCTCACCACACATCCCTGCACCATCTCACACGTCAATATGCTATAGACCCAGCAGAAATAGAGATGTTAATCCCAGCACTGCCAGTGCCCCAATGAGCTCAAACTCATACAAGACTCACATTGCCTCATCCAAGAAGCAGGCAATAGAGGATCACGACCAGATTACTGACGACATTCAGATTTACTGCAACAGATCAGGACATCAAGGCAATATAGGAGCGGCGGCAGTCCTATTCAGAACCAGTAAACACCCTCGGACACTTTGCTACTACCTAGGAAAAGACATGGAACATACCATCTTTGAAGCTGAAGTGGTCGACTATCATTAGCAGCAGAACTCATAGCAACGGAGGAAGACCCTACGTTCCCAATCTCCATTTTCACTGAGAACCAAGCAGCCATTCTATCAGGTGAAGGATTCTACACGCATCCAGGTGCATACTTAATAAGCTATAGCACCAGCTAAAGTGGCAAAACCTGCTATCTGTTTCGGATTCAAGTGTTACTGCTGGGTTCGATGTTCGTGAGCGAAATAAAAAACAAAAGACTACATAAATTCAATAACTACACATTGTCCTTATTTACAACTTTCTCATCAGTCGTACATCAATCTTCCCTCACTCTCTTGCCTAGTTGCACTCCTGCCATCACATCTGATGTGTGTGATTTCTGATTTGTGGTACCTTTGTTGGCAGTGTTTGGCAGCGAAATGACAGGTTAGAAAATGAATAGGGGTTGACAGCGAGTGCATCTCCTGCCCCACCAATGGCACGCCATGCGGCAATCCAATTTCATGCCAACAACAACATCAGAGGTCAAACTACACGAAATCTTGAACTCAATGTCAGTTGTGAGAAAACGGCCATTGTAAGAGGCTGTGAGAATTTCGGAAAACCACGAACCTAAATCAGAATGGCCGAGCAAGCAAGCGATAGAAGAAACAACAGAAGAATGAGAATCAAACGTCAAAGATGACAGATACAGGCAGACAAGCGATGAACGAGTGGTAGCTAAAGAAAAGGAGCATAAGAAAGGAGAACATAGCTGTCGTAAGGCGAAACCGGATATATATAGAAAGTGATCAATCAACAACAGCTAATTACCATGTAAAGCCCAAAAAATAGGGTCGCCAAAATCTGATGAATCTACCGCAAAACGGTGAAATTAGCAAGCTATAAGACCCACTACAGAGGTAGCGGGAATCAATTGTTTTTGCAGCAGAATGAAACAACTTGCCAGAGAACACAACAATCCTAACATCACCATACACTGGATCCTGGGACATTCAGGATGTACACGGCAATGAGGAGGCTGATAAGCATGCCAAGAAGGCTGCAGAAAGTCAACAGAACAATAGCCCACCCGCTTCGCTTCCAAAATTCCTCCACTCTAACACTCTTCCTCTCAGCATCCTGGTCCTCGCAGCAGCTCATCATCAATCAATGCCACAAACGCTGGTCAAGAATCTGGCGCAAGTCACCTGTCAACATTATCGCCACCAAAGACATGTTCTGACAAATGCACTGGGACGCAAGGCCTCATCACTCTCCTATCTCTTATCTGATCCTAATGCCACCCCCCACCTTCCCTGTTTCATCAACACGACAGGCAGACTCCATCAGACATTCAGTGAAGTACCCCGCAAACCACCAGACTGAAATAGCACACCCCATCTAGCGCATCACAAGTAAATATCAATAGTACAAACTGTAACAAATGTATCATCAACAACTCCTCAAACTCCTCAACCTGTATCACCAACACTCGCCCAACATGGAATCACCCATCAAAACTGGTCACCTAGATGTAACAGAAGCTCCCCGCAGATCACAATGAGCTCACATTACATCATTACACTCATACCACCCAATTCCTGTACACACTTGCACCCCGCGACCAAGTACATGCTCAACTTACACAATAGATAGCCACCCATATTGCACATAACCCAAACCTAGACATCTCACCTACATTAGATCATGCGTCTAAAATGGCCAGCGGGAACAGCGGACTGATGGGGCACAGCTCACATCAGGGCATTCGCGGATCTAGGGATGCAATCAGGACACTGGGGGTCCTTAGTATAGAAAGTAGTGTCCTACATAGAGTTCTACTCTGCAAGGGACAGAAATTGGAATATTATTTTTTTTTTAAAAAAAAGCTCGTTTCAAGATGCTGAAGACACTCAAGAGTCAACAGGGTCACCGGCAAGGAGACATCCACCAAGCATGCATTCTTGGTCACTAAGTGAGGCTTGAAAACCATCACATTTATTTCTGCAGTGCAGAAGAAGGGCCCAGAGGTAATGCAACTGACAGTATCCATGGCATACAAGCACCTGAAGAAGCCCGGTGTCGAGAATTATACCAGCATCAACTTGGATGACAAACTGGATGACCATGAAGACATCTAGTAATCGAAATTTGTTGAAATTTGAGGCATCCTAGTACTAATTTCTTAGTTTTTCTTTCAGATCTAGTCACCAAATCACGGTGTATTGTCACCCTTATAGTATCATCTGATGGCAGTGTTGGATTTGAAGCATACCAGCAACTTGGAGCTCAATACTGACAAAGCGCACAGCACATTATGTAATATTTGTAATGTTCCAGTAATGTAGTTATCTAACTGAAAGCATAGGTATTTCACAGTAGTATATAAGACTAGTTGACATTTTTTGTACACTACGTGTTATCTACAGGTTCCCTGTACACCTGAGTTTGGTCATACTTCGATGGACATGTCTGAGACTTGTGGAAAACTCAACAGACAGCTTCTTTGGTTTGCATTGTGATTTACTATCTTTTTACACCACATTTTTATCCTTTACAATAGTTTTTAATGACTTTCCTTGTCTTTTTTGCGTCTTTTTTTTGGCCTGATTGCCTCTTAATCCATCTTGTGAATCTCTTGTAGTCGCTCTTTCAACAATTTTTAGGACATTCTAATATCAGATGTTTTGACTTTGTGGGAGTTTTTTCATTTTGTGCAACATGTGAAAAGTTGGCACAAGTCAATTTAAGAAAATGAGTGGCCTTGAGACATCTTTTGAGAATCATGCTCTTTTTCTGGCTTAGATTGTGAAAAACTTTCAAAAAAGATAGTTCAAGACATTTCAGATTTTCCTGATGACAAAACACCAACACTAATGGATGGTCAGGCAACAGGCAACATGGATGAGCATATGTATTGCACATGATGGGAAGGGGTAAGATTCTTACAGGTAGGCAGCTAGGTATATATTGTGAGTGATAACAAATTGTAGCAGCGGTGACCCGCCAGTCCCCGACTCTGCCACTGCAGAGTCGTAACATCTGGCATGTATGTATCAGATGCAGCTATTGTGGCTATCCAGTCTTGTTGCTTAAAACTACAAGTGTCCTGACCACGGACGTCGATTATGATATTCGGCGATGGCTTTTGACGAGCATTACAGTGATGTGAGGTCTAGGCCTCATGAATTCAAGAAAAGGAAATAAGTTCACGCGCACATTTGCATACAGGTGCCTGGCCGTTTGGAGCTGACAGAACTCTCCCTACTTCGTAGAGTCGGGGACAGATAACAAACAAGTCATCAGTGTCCAATCAAGTCTTTTGTCTTCACCATGTTGCATGGCATCATGTGTAAGCGTAGTAAGCACCATGCTTACAGATACAGCCTTTCTGAGTGCAGGGCTGAGTGGTTGTCATGAGGAGTATGATTCAAGATAAAGAAACACTGGTATATGAGAAGATATATTACAAAATAACAGAGATCCAAGAAAACAACATATAGATCCAAGTCGTGCAAGCTTATATCACTACTCTGGTAGCGAACATCTTGGAATCCACAAACTACTCGTGTGAACATGTATTTAGGGAGGAACACGTACATCTTGTAAACGGCGACATTGGCAATTTCAGAGTTTACTTTTGAGCTTCATCTTCTGCTGAGCCGCAGCTTGCCCGCGTTGTAGCATAGGTCGAATGTAAGGCTACGTCGACTGAGCAAATATCAACCAACTGACGAATAAAGACTTACAGCATAAGCGGGAGTAACTTCATCCTTGTTCATCGGCTCCATCTGCACTCGTTTCCACAATGCCTCGTAAACGCGGCCATCGGAAACTCCCAATGCGCTATCAAACGTAGTCAGTACGTCAACAGTACAGATATAGTCTGCAGGTACCTATCTAGGGACCAGTCTGAAAAGCCGAAAGCATCGGTTAGACCGATGGCATTGGGCAGGACTTCAAGACAAAGGGCTTTGATGGCTAAACGGAGATCCTGGGTAGGGTCGCCAGTACCCGTGTGACGAATCAACCCAACCGAAAGAAGATCCACGAGCGCGCTTTCAGCGCTCGTTAGTAAGTACTATGAAAGTGACGCAATAATTCAGAATGTTTGCAGCGATAAGGATGGCAACTCACCAGCCTATAAAGGCAGCCGACAGCCCTCGCATCCTCTGAAGGTAAATTGGTGAGATTGTTGATCATCTCACCGACCTGAGCGGCAATAAAAGCCTCCGTTACGGCTTTGGCCAAGCGCTGATTGATGCTCGCATCCACATCTCCACTTGCTGGCGTCCGCGTGAAATTCTTTACCATAAGAGCAGCACGCCACTCTAGAAGAAGGATAACGCTGCGGACATCGTGCCAAGTTGACGCGGTGACTTGTGGAGGGGCTTCGCTGGTTGTGGACAAGAGACGCAGGTAAGCTGATGGAAGGGGAAGCTTGGCAACAGCCGAGGCTGACGAAAGCACAGCTTTGCATAACTTTGTAGCGGCACGCACTACTTGTCCGTCCAAGACGAAGTTGTCCCCTTCAAACCTAGGCATCTCTTTAATGTCAATGTTATTCCACGCTCAGAAGGTTAAACGCACGTTGCGGAAGGGAGGTACTCGATGTATAATCGCCCCAGTCCAGCAAATGCGCTGTACCCATGTCCACCCATAGAACGCCGAGCGGTCTCAATATCAATGATTCCGTTTGTGGTAACGAAGACTTTTAAGCCGCACAAGAGAGCATGCATTTCGGCAAGGGAGGAAGTGTCTCTGCTTGCGAGCTGCTCTTGCATCTGAGTCAATGCTTTAATCTGACCATGGCGGAGGTGAGTACTTGCACCGACGCATGAAGAAATAGAACAAACCGTGTACCTCCCGAGCTCAATGAACACGAATGCCCTGGAGAGGATGGGCAACAAGCGGTAGTATGTTGAAGGGTATGTCAAGACTTGACGTTCGAGTCCCTTTGCATCCGGTTCGCCTTGTCTCCGGACAGTCGTGTAACGAATGGCGACAGTCGCAGCTGCGAAATAATCAGTCTGGGATTACACTGGATGCTTGGAGCTCTACCTTTGGCTATGGTCCATCCGGACGATGGTATCATGCTGGAATATCATATCGTTAGTCCCTGCTGAGCAGAGGTGCAGAGAATTGACAGACGTTGCCCTGATATACATCATCTGGCACGTCGTGTCAGTGATATCGATATCAGGACCAATTAAAGAAAATTACTCCTCCGTAGCTGAGTTTTGCGTGAGGAGGTTGGATATAGCCACCATCTACTGTGACCTCAGCAAACTTCGAGAACATGTTCGTCCTGGGTATCCGTACGTGATCAAATCTCGCGAAGCCCTGATCTTGCGCAGCCATGCCTGTAACGAGTGCATCGAACAAGGTATTGTAAAAGACTTGAGATTTCACTTACCTCCCGCAGCTTTTGGACCAATGTCGCCGACAGTGATTCCTTTGAGAGGTTTGTGATCCTCTGCAAAAGCATTCAGTGTTGCTATAAATTAGGCGACGCCCGGGCAAACCTAATGACCGCAGTTGCACGAAGAAGAGATGAGGTCCCATATCCTTCCCATCCGGCAAGATCAACTTTGCTTGGACGACACCATGAGTTGCGGACTTCCCAGAGCGCCGATCCACCATTTAGTGCTCGTAAGACTTGGGGAGTTTATTTCGAACTCTTGAGTTTCTGGGATATACGTCGAAGTAGTTTCTAGGCGAGCTACATTTGTACCGTGACCGAGTTCGGTTTGCAAATAACACCTGAGGATTCCTAGTGAGTATAGTTCAGGTAGGATAACTTGAAGCGAACATGCCCTTGAATCCCCTTCTCATACACCAAGTCCCAATAGTTTTCCATCAATGCGGGAGATCCTTGACCGAGGAAAACGGGCTGGAATGCTATGCGAAATATGAGTGTGTTTGCGTGAAGGGTATAGGTCTGCATACCATTGTCATGTAGTGAGGTCGACATCACTTCTGAAAGAAGCGACGTGGCTGTAGAATATTCTTCTTTAGACCAACCGTGCATTCGTTGTAGCTCGTTCAGCCTATTCATTATGGCGGCAGCTCTGATGTATTGATCTGTCCGCCCCAGAAAGTCCCTGAGAGAATAAGTCGTACGAGAGACACGCAGACGGCTACCCACCTGTGCTGTTTGTCAAATAACGGTTCTTGCACAAGAATCTTTTCGAGGCGTTCACGCATATCCCACACATTCTGTCCACCTGAGCGAAGTTAGGGCGTCACAAGGATCATGATGACTTAGATTGTTCACCATATAGATAGTTTCTGACAGTCTGGACGCTAATGGAGGTTTGTGAACGAGCTGCGTTCATATCAGCAGCTGTCTGTTGGTTGACATCAACTTTTGGTCTAGGCGCCATTGCCATTGTGTTGTCGAGTCTAGAGGATAATGAACGAAGAAACGATGGTATGAGAGCGAGTGATTTTTTACCGGTGTCGTCCCAATTGCAATGGCAGTTGATCTCGGTTGATTGAGTGCCGGGTGACGTAGCGGACGCAAATGTCGGAGCAAACCTAGTAGTCTTGCTTGTCACGCGCCGGCACAGTAAGCGGCACAATCCACTTTCACTCTCCGCAGCAAGTGCGCGAGGCCGAGAGAAGTTGTGTTATGTGCCGAGGAGATTCACAGCACCTCTTCGCAAACGAGTAACCATTATCGGAATGGTTTTTTTATAAGACGTTATAAGAGTTGGCCGCCTTGTGCACGACGTTGAATCGTTTACATATTCGCAACCGTGGACCTATCATATGTGGAATGATAGGAAAATGATCGCCTCGCAAGTGCACCCATCCTCCCACCACTGTCAACGCTGCCAAGTAGTCTCTTACATAGACGAACTCTACTGAGTCTATTGCCGCAATAATGCCGATAGTCGGTGTCTGATCTGTTCTCACGGTCCTTGGCTGTTTTGCGTGCTCCGGGTCCGATCATCAACTTAAGCTATAGCCTATAGCTGACCATGTTTTCCACTTGCCACACAATCCTTGACTTTTTGCTAGTGTTGCTGCAGTTATCAATGTCAACGATTTGAATCTTGAAGCTTGAAAATCACCTTATCGCTGTCTTCTTATGCACTGATTCCGTAGTGGGCCCTGCCGCGAGCGGCTAGAAGATCTTCGCTTATCCCAAACTTTATGTAAATGCTACAGCAATGGTATAAGTTGTAGTCACAATTTTCGAGAGCACCTCGGTTTAACCTTCAACTCTCTCCCAACGGAGTGGAATCGCCATCTAGAGGAACTGGTACTCTTCTCACTTACTAACTGATCTATGCGTAGCTAATTTTTATCACTTTAGACATTTCGTTGAAATGCATATTCTCCTCGTCCATTCGTTACTCTTTTCCATCGGCCTCGTCCAGGCAGCCGTTACTGCCTATGGTCCACATGTCCAGTCACCATTTGGGACTACGACGACGGCTGCCTCTGCCTCATACACGGGTGCTGCTTCATACGACAGAACGATATTACAACCACCACCCCCACCTGATCCTGCGCCACCCACACAGTTCAATGTAGAGCTGCAGACCGGAGGTGTTTCGGGACTTTCAATCCAACATATAGGTTCATTCTTTGGCTTCAGTATAGAGTTTAGTGTGACGACCCAAGTTCGTGAGTAATTTCCTTCAATCGCACGTGTATCCACTTAACATGTCTTGTAGTCGGGCTGAATAGGTAACTAATTTGGTTGCTAATTAGCAATATATATCATTTACCCCGATCACTACCAGTACTTTCCTTCAAGTACCGTTTCTCAACCTCATGGCCAACCTGCAGCAACGCGGAGGGAGCGTTAGGGTTCGTGTCGGTGGTAATACTCAAGAGACCGCTACTCTAGTGGCCAGTACTCCGGACGGTGCTGCTCTCGAGAAGGACTACTCGGGGGTGTCCAACCCCGTAAGTGCATTTTTTTTCTTGCTTAATTATCCTGAGATCGAGCACCCGCAAGACGTCAACGCCGCCCCTTGTTTTCACAAGCGAGATCATTAAAATGATGGCCGAGATATCTGCACTCACTAATGTCTATTGGTACATGGGTATGTGATATGTGAAAATACCCTTGTTGTTACCGACCTTGTTGCGCAGGTGTACCGTTCAATGACACTCAGCATTGGCGTTTGCAGATCGCTGAAGTCGGAGAGGCGATGCTTGGAAATTATCTGATTGGTCTACAGGTCAGGAAACCTGACGCATAAGTTATAACATAACAGTCTTTGATTACTTTTGCTTTAGGCCGGCAATGAGCCGGATCTTTACTCCAGACACGGACACCGACCGGATGTAAGGTTTTCTGCTCTCACACTGTTCATTGTTAACCTTCTTGCAGTACTATGCCCCTGAAGATTACAAGGAGGAATTTGGTCTTCTCATCGACGCTATGAACGCAGACTCTAATATCCCCAACAAAGATCTGCTCATTGGCCCCAATTTGGCTGGCGTGTGGAGCCCAACAGATGTTTGGGAAACCGGGTTCGCCACAGACTTCAACCAAAATCTTGCTGCACTGGGTGTTGAAAGGTGAACAACATATTGTTTGTCATCGCTTTCTGGCTCACAACCCTGAAGGTACCCCACTGACAACTGTTACGCTCAGTTCGGCATAGGAACTCCGCGCAATGGCCAAGAGATGTTCCCGACCTTCCTGACACACCAATCCGGAAAGAATATTGTTAACGAGTTCCCTGGTGCTCCCGCCTATGCACAATCCGTTGGAAAGCCCTTCATCATGTCAGAAACTAATACTGCATCTTGCGGAGGTTTTCCTGGGTTAAGCGACAGCTTCGGGGCCGCCCTGTGGGGAATTGACTATTCTCTCCAGCTAGCATACAGTAATTTCTCGACTGTTCTTTTCCACGTTGGTGGACAGAGCGTATATTACAATGTGAGTTCAACTCGAGTCCTGCTGTCATTCGACCTCTAATAATCGTCTTTTATAGCCCTTTATGCGTTCGTGTCGATCGTCCTATCTGGATGGAGATTTTTCTAACTTTATTCTTTAGCGCCTGTGAGGAACCAGTCGACCTTCCAACAGTGGACCATTGGTATGAGCTACCTTGCATCATTTCTCTATTGAATGCTGATTAAGCTCATCGCAGGTCCGATCTATTACTCGGCTCTAGTAGTCGCAGAAGTACTGGGTTCTTCCAATACCGCGCAGGTCCTGGATCTGGACGCAAATGATGGAAACGACTACACTCCGGGTTACGCGATTTATGAAAATGGCCAGCCAGTCCGCGTCGCATTGACTAACTTCATCTCTGATCCGTCTGGAAATAGCGATTATACCGCGAGTATTTCAATTGGGGGGACAGTGCCTGCTCAAGTGAAAGTGAAGTGAGTGATTCCTGTATTGTCATGAATGTATTGTATCCTAACGCTCGCTCAGGTATCTTCTGGCTGACTCCGTCTCTCAAATATACAACTTTACGTGGGCTGGACAGGTATGCACAACATCGAGTCTCTGCAATGATCGGCTTGACTAATTGTTCCACAGACCTTCGGCGGCCCATTCTCATCAGACGGACGACTTAATGGAACACTTGACATACAGACTATCCCCTGTGACCAGACTAACAACGTATGTCGAGTCAAAGTACCTGCTCCTGGTTTCGCCCTTGTATTCCTCACCGATGGTGCACTGTCCGAGTCCGACCAGAGCGCAACGATGACCTTCCCAACTACCACATATACGAATTACCATGGTGGACCAACCGTCACGATCGACCCCTCCGTTCTGGCTACCTCTAACGGTGAGAAAGGATTCGCCGATTCTCTAGCGGGCACGAGCCAAGGTCGCCAGATGAGTAGCGCCCTTGGATTTCCGCAAGCGCTGCCTAGCTTAGTCGCTGTCATGGCTGGTGCTCTCATGATCGGGCGTCTGGCCCTCGTGCGATGAACGTTCTTTTCGTTCACTTGCATCAGAATTGATCATCGTGTACATGACATCCCTTCTTTGGGTCATTTTGATATCGGACGGAACCTGTGTACATTTATCCCTTACACTAATCCTACCTCTGGACGGACCACTTGGATCTCGGATCTGCGTGCATATATCCCATACACTAATCCTACTCACTATCTTTTTGTCCGTCACTTGTGTACCACTGCATTCCGAATTTATGATCGCGGCTGAACAAAGTTTAAGACGAAATTTGGATCACCATTGGAGGCTTGATGCCGACCCATCATTGGGGTTAAACATTAAATGATAAGCGTTGATAGCCTTTTCACGGGCCTCTAGATTAGCAAGCGGAGTATCACCCTCGTCTTGGGATGATTAAGCTCATTCGCGACTGATGACACGTTGCAACTGCAGGTGCATCTTATTCTTAGATTTTTCGTGTTATCAGAAGTGAGCCCTTTCTCGTCCCAGTACTCTAATATATAGTAATATTCACTGCGGCTCAGTGAGTCTGATCATGATGTGGACGTTGACGACGATGAAATGAGAGCAATATTAATAATTAAACGGTTCGGTATCACCGGCACGTGCGGCGCTGGCACTGGGTTATTCCGGCATCAGGTCATTTTTCAGCCTCATCCTCATCCTCCTCCGAGTCTCCACTTCCTTTGCTAAGTTTTCTTCTGCTTACCTCGTTCTTCCTCCCGAGCAACGAGGCAACTAGACGAATGCTTATTCGATTAGTGCTTAGCTGGTTGAGTATAGCCCATCGCTAGACCTTCCATATTCGACTGTAAAAAATGATGCAACTGATTCTGGATGGAATGTCACCTCGTCTTCCTGCCGCAGCTGAAGAGGGTGTATTCCATTATGATTATCCTATGTCGATTTGACTATCGCCCGAGATGGACACACTCTTCTATGTAGGCACCCCACCTACACGTTGCGCTCCTCGTGCGGGGAAAATGAGGTGGAGTGTATGCTTCTCCACCTTGTATGGGATGCCTCATGTTTTTGGAAAGTCTCATGGGTCTGTAGATACTGCGGCTTGGAATGCTGATGGAGTGGGCGTTGTTTCATTTCGCCTCCAGCATTGGTATAAGGCTTGCGGCCCATTCAAGTTGAGTGATGTCACGCGACGTCATTTAGAGTGCTGTGGTTTATCCAACTTGAAGCATGCTTTCTAATTTGCCAATTGCACCTACCATGAACACACTTTTCGGTACCCTTTCTCGCACAGCTGCTCTTCGTCGTGCCCCGCTCGCCCTTCGCCGTCCATCACATTTCCAAAACTCTCTCCAATTCACTGCTCGTCCTGCAGTTGTAAACCTTACCCAAGTCCACGCACGCTTCGCAGCAAGCTCCGTCTCCGGCAGACCAGGAAGTCAAACTATCGAGCATGCGAAGCAGAATGTGAAAGAGGAAGTCGGGAACTCAATGACAGACTGGGCCCGCTCGATCGCTGGTGGCGTGTTCACGGTAGACAGCGTCAAGCCAACAAAAGACTCTTTCGTACGTCGCCCTTTGTGCGGATCAGGTCGTTCGCCTTATTAACCACAGCGCTTTAATCATCCAATGTAGTTTGGTATAACCACTGCAGTCGCCCACTCCGTACCAACCCCCTATCTCGTCATGGGCCTCACTGGTGGCATCCCATACATCGTCTCATCCGCGACTACCGTATATCTTGCGCATCAAGCAGGTCTCGCGACCATGGGTGTTATCACAAACATGGACCCTGGCGTTGCCCTTAACATCTTAGATCAAGCGCTCAACTTCCAAGTCCACTATGGCGCTGTTCTTCTGTCCTTCCTTGGCACGTAATCTTACTTCTACTTCTATAGCTTAGCTCATGTTATATTTAGGTGCAATCCACTGGGGTATGGAATTTAGTGGTCTGGGCGGGCATAAAGGCTACCCCCGTCTGCTCCTCGGCGTCTCTCCCGCGGTCTTGGCGTGGTCGACTATCACTCTCCAACCTACTTTCGCCTTGCTGTGGCAGTGGGTTGGATTCACTGCACTGTGGTATGCCGATAATAAAGTCACAGCTGCCGGTTGGAGTGAGTCTCCTTGTTCCAGGGTCGTGGTCCTCTTCTGACTGTGCCTCCTAAGCACCAAAATGGTACTCCCAATACCGCTTCTACCTTTCTATCCTCGTTGGCACGTGCATCATCGGCTCCCTTGCAGGAATCTCCTATTATGGACCTGTAGCCGGCCATGGTCTTCTCTCCCATGACCTGAACATGGTTCGCGCTGAGCGGTCAGTATCTTGTGTTCTCAGGCTTTCCCATCCTAACAGCTTTTCACGTCTTTGCAGAAAACTTATCGAGCCTGAGCATGCGGGCCATGTCGGTGGGGACGTCGAAGCTGTTTCAGGTGACGAGTCGAGCGACACATATGTTGTCATCCGCCGGAAGAACAAGAATGGAAATGGTGACAATGGAGCTAACGGAGAGGCGCACGCTCAACAGTGATATATGACCCATGAGATGAGGAGGACTTATCGAAAAGCGATGCCACAGAGCTGATTGTTGTGGAATAATCATGACCACCACTTGTTGTATATCTGTACGTGTATCATACCTCTCGTTGTACTATCACTCCAAGATAAATGTTTCTTCGATATCTGATCGAAATGGTGCACTGCTGCCAATTAGATGATTGGCGAGACGCGAAAAGGGGGGACGGACTTGGTTGTGCAGTACTATTACCAAAAATTTCCAAGTCTAACGTTTCCTAATTGAACATCATATATGCAAACAGCTGTAAATACTCAAGGTACTCAACAGTTGATGTTTGTGAGTCATACACCTGTGTCAAATGGGCAGATATTATATAGCAACTGACGGATCTGTTATTCGGGGATTTCATCCCTTCCTGTTTTATGACTCCCAAGTTGTGACAACTTGGAGAACTGAAACAGGAGACAGGTGGAACCAACTCACGCAAACTTCTGCAGGACATTGACCGATTTCCACAGCTTCAACATGGTCCTGTGTAATGGTGATCTTGTAGAGTATGGATCATAGTGATGCCAGGAATGGTCATCTGCAGGCGTAGGAGATGCACTGACGAGTGGGCTTTGGCCTGGAATCAACCTATCCAAGCACCTCCGAGTTGGTTCTCCCGGCGCACCAGTATAACTGTGCTCATGGCGAGATTGATTATATAGTTATGTGTCTGAGCAAATGTATGTCTTCCATAGAACGCATCAAGGAGAGCCATTTTAGTGGTCATAATCAAGCAAAAAGATAGAAAATAAATGTATGAACTACTCAGGACATGCAGAGTGAAGTCATCATCGCGACTCCCCGAGTCTCAGAGAGGAGTAAAATTGTCTATCATAAGCTTCTATCCCGCTGGTTGGCCATTCTTCATTGTGGAGGGATCTCCAAAGCAAGCGGCAATACTGGCCCATCGGTGGCTGTTGCACACATCACGAAAACATAAGCCACCTTATCTAATCTTTGATTTTATTTTCTCATTCTCCTGGCACCCCCAATTTCCAATTGTACAACTACATATATATATTGAAGCAAGCTTATTTGCCAGCAAGTCAACACTCAGTATAGTCAATTTCGAGCGAGTTGGTTTGTTGAAACTCGACTCATCTCCGTCCAATCTATTAACGTTCAACTATCTCACCTACTATTCTGAAGTATCTGTTGTTTATTATCCATGTCTACGGAACCTGTACCAGCTTCTGCCGAGGAAACACAGGCTGCTGGAGATGCTACGGCGATACGTGAAGAAAATGAAGATGAAAAGCTGCAGGATGCTCGCAAGCAAAGTATGTGTTTTTCTTCCATCTTTCTGCAGGTGAGTCTGATTGGGATATCATAGTCGAGTTCTATTTTGCAGACTCGAACCTGCCATTCGATAAGTGCGTATGATCGTCATGATGCACCGTATGCATGTCTAATATGATTCAGGTTCATGTGGAGTCTCCACACCGCAAATGCAGAACACTGGGTACCCATCAAAACCGTCTCTTCGTTCAAGCGTATGCGAGACTATGCGTCGAAGGGCCATGACTGGATAGTGAAGGCCTTACGGACAAGCGAGGAGCTGGAAGTGGATGAAGCAGGGGAAAATGCAAGGCGTCGCACTGAGGTACAACCACCGAAGGGTCAGTTTGAGAGAAGTGTCTACGCGGTGAGTCAGATCATTGGAGGTATCAAAAAAATTTGCTCATGCATGGCACCGTAGAAAGGGTTTGGCGATGAGACTTCCGATCTGCAGAAGAAGTTGGAAAAGTTTTTCAACCAGTATGGAGAAACGAATGCTGTCAGGATGCGTCGTATAGACGGGAACAAGCAGTTCAAGGTATGTTTTATAGATTATGTCAAGACAAAACATACGTGCTTATGTTTTTTTTTTTTCGCAGGGGTCAGTCTTCGTCGAATTTACAGATATGAAATCCGCAGAGGCGTTCCTCAATGCTGATCCTAAACCATCTTGGGATGGCAAGGAGTTGTTGATTATGTCCAAGTATGATGTTTTTCTTTCTGAGTTTTTCTCTCTAATCATCTCTAGGGAGGCCTACTGCGATATGAAAATCAAAGAAAAAGGTCTTACCGGCAAGACTGCCGAGATGCGCAAAGACAGCATTGCAAGTCGGAAGGGGTTCAATGCGTTCCAGGAGATGCAGAACGAGAAGAAGGGGAAGGGTCAAAATAGTAAAGACAAGCCCAACCCCGAAGTCTGGCTCGAGTTCATGGGGCGTAAAATTCGTGTGCAGGAGGAAGATGGAGGCAGCGTGAAGAGCGAAGATTTGCCATATATCAAGGGCGCAACAATGAAGTTCACGGGCTGTGGTGGTGATGCTAACTTTACAGAGATGAAGGTAATTTGGTGGTTTTCACTTTCGTATATCGAGGTTCTGACTCTGGACCGATAGACTCCTTTGAGAGAGCGCTTTGCCCGGGTACCGTACATCCAATTCTCAAAGGGAGATGACTTTGGTCTCGTTGGATTCGACAAAGCCTTGACGGAAGATGAGATCGACTACGTGAAGACCAACCTAAAGACCGTGAATTCAAATGAAGTCCAGTGGTCTATACCAGAAGGTACTGTCACTCTCGTATCATATACGATCTGTGCCTTACTCATTATCGTATCGCAGAGGAAGAAGAAAAACAATTCCAAATTGATCGTGCTAACTTTGCTGCGCGGTCAGCTCTCTCGCGTTCTCAGGACAAAGGCGGTTCATCACGAGGTGGACGTGGGGGCGGACGTGGGGGTCGGGGACGGGGTGGCAGAGGTGGTGGCCGTGGTGGGAGAGGTGGAGGCCGTGGCGGAGGTCGCAACGGCGAGAAAAGCCAGCCCGCTGCAACATCAGAGGAACAAAGCGGAGAAAAGCGCAAACGGGCTGTTGAGCCTGACGGCGGCCCTGATTCTGGTATTCGTGGTCAGGCTATCCCCACGATTGCACCATCAAAAAAAGCAAAAACAGATGCTGCATAGTATCTGTACCGATAAGCTATGTGTATTATATGTGCAGTATGTACATTTGGGCAATGCCAGTGCATCTCGTCTCAGCGAAAGACAACGTCTGTTGTAACTTTCAAAACTCATACTCCGAGTCAGAATTCTACATACACAGTGACATTAATTAAATACGCAAAGAAGACAACGATACAGACTCATCGGAAGAATCAGAACACAAATCATTGACACTAACCACGGCAGGAATATCCCGATCGAAGGACTTCGCAGAACTCATCATCACCCAGTTTCACCGACGGTGGACTAGGCCAAGGGGCTCAGTCTACCTAGTTAGGTGAAAATCTTGAAGCCTGAATGTTTTGACCAATTAGACTTGCACAATGAAAATCAAACTCGATGAACGAAGGAAGGCGGTCAGGCAATCCGGCACCATCCACACCCAATAGTTGTCGTCGAGAGAGCATCTAAATTGAGAAACAACGCTAAAAACAAAATACGGACCTCCACACCAGAGCAGTATAAACAACGGAAAGGCCAAACATATAGCAGCAGGCTCCATTCTCAAACCCAAATCACATCATCATCATGACAACGGTCGACACCACAGGAGAGACTATCGCTGGCAATTGAACTCCCAAACTCTTCCTCATTGGATAGTTTCTTCGCAAGACAAATATCCGTCATGCCTGCTCGCCGCAGAATGGCCTCTGTCGGATGCTGGACATATTGCAGGGCTTGATTGATAGACACTGAACGATGACCCAACCACAAGAGTTGCAGTACACCTATGTCTGGGATAGCAGCTTGACTGTCATGTGATGCATCGAATGCTCGGGTCATATGAAGCGCAAGTCCCAACATGATCACCGATGCAGACGTCGCAAAAGCCAACTAGAATCATTTTCGATGAATGGTCATCGCATATATGCCACCACGAACTTACAGGAAGAAAGTTGATCTACAATGCTTCATTAGTCATTTGGATACAGCATCTGTGCAGTTCACCTACATTGAGGCATGTGTAACTTATGGATGAGTCGACATAGGTCGACCCACTCCCAGGGTCAATTCCTCCATTGGCTGTGCCCAATCGTCCCGCTAAGTATGCATTATAGAATGAGTAAGAACAGGAAAACGCTCAAATGTATTCCTTACCTAGCCAGATGAGTTGTGCAGCTGCCCTCGCGACCGCAAATTCTAGTTCATCCGGTCTCAAAGTGAAATTAGAAATCGGAAGAGCACCGTCGTCTCGGAATTGTATATATTCCTGGGTGAGATTCAAGCCTACCAGTGACATAATATACCTAGAAGTCAAGCCGTACATGAGATGCAGCAGTGCACTCAAGGAAAGTTTTTGGCCTACTGGTCCATAATAGAGAGTTCGATGATTTGTGAATTGCTACCTTCAAATATCATCCCGCTGCTGTAGTTCGAGGTAGCCAAAGCCTTGCTGATCTAAAACTGGCAGTATGTCATAACCCCTCGAAACGGACACCATATAACGCACCTGTGTTTGTCAACTACTAGTATTCGACCACCCGAATTCAAGTTGATGGTCTGAGTACATTTCCCATTGCGTAGATGGCTGCGGCATGGGCGTAGGACTCCTTAAAATGTTGTATTGCGCATCTACTAGCCCACCCGAGTCTCTACTAGTGTTCGCTGAGAGTGAGCAATGGACGAAATAGACCTGGATGGCGTATGAAGTGACAGCGCCAGGGATAGCTGCAGAATATATTGTTATCATGACCGTGTTATAAATAAGCAAACGTACCCCAAGTCATGTTCACGGCGACCTCGTCTTGTACTAAAGGGTCGATCCCCAATGACGTGGAGACCATAAGATAGATACCATCAAACTAGAGTCAAATTATTACTCAGCTTCTATAGTGGGCGCGAACTAGGGAATGCTTACCTCTGAGTCGTCCAAGTCACCATCAGAATCTTCATATTCTGTCCATGGAATTATATGTATCTGGTCTGCCCCTGTGGACATTTTCAGCATGATAAAATATCACCCCAACCAACTACTAACAAAGACTCGAAATGCTCGTATTAAGCGCGAACGAATCTCCAAACTGAAAGATTGCCGTGCTGGTATCCGCAGAGTATGTCACATTTGGAATCAATCCACAACTCGAGGTTACTGTCGTTGTGTTCACAAACGCAGTTCCTGGTGTACCCATTGTGAAGGTGTCGTAGAGTGTCGTGTTTGATAATCCTGCAGACGCCAGTCCAGTCAAATGATTGACAACTGGTAGGGATGGAGCAATGGGTCCCAGGTCTACAAAATTGCCGTACGATGAATCGTCTAGCCATCCTAGTGTTGTGGGCACTAAAGTAGTCATAAAATTATCCGATCCCAAGGCTTGAAATTGTAGAAGAACCGAAGAGGTGACATGCAGCACACTTATGCTCGCAAGGTAGACTGCCACAGCAGAAGTCGTCCACCACGAGGCGGGGATGTCAGTTTGTCGCCAGACGCTGCTGAGTGCGGAGCCAAGGCCCGCCCATGCGCCAGAGATGTCGTGAACGGCAGTCAGTTTGACACGGCGTACAAGTGTTCTCGAAATTGCAAGCCGTTGGGTAAGGAAGAGTAGAACAGCGGTGTATATCTGGATTATCATTGGTGTATTGTCAGGATAACAGTGAACATTGAAGACGTACAGTATAAAACGCTTGTAGTGAGGCACTAAGCACCACAGACCAGAAATCATTGTATTTTGTGGAACAGAGAGTTACATGGTGTTCCAATGATTCATAGACATAAAAGAAAACAAGGACGATATGAATCATGACCAGCATGCCATGCATGATGTAACACGTGCGTAGAGCAAACAATCCGCGCGTGTTGTTTGGAGCATTTTTCGAGCTGGCCATCCAGTCTGCTGAGGTGAAGAATGTACTAGTTGTCGGCAGGCAACAACAAGAATTTGATCGACATGATACGCAAGTCCTCGACATACGAACTATCAGCGACGCAAGGGAGTGCAGATAGGTACAGATGTTGAACAGGTAATGAGGTGGACCTGGTGAACTAGCCGCTGGTCTCCCTGGAAGTGGCCCTCAGACCTGGATAGAAGTCAGTCAGACATTCCTTGAATTTCCTTCTTTATGCCTAAACTTGAAGGCATGGTTTCGTAAAATCTCTAGCGGTGCTGTGTAATCATGACGCCGGAGGACGCACCTTTATTTTGCTTCTTATTGTTCTAACATGCTAAATAGCAATGGCATCACTTACCATATCCAAGTGATATGCACCCCTACACAATGCTGGAGTGGGGCACCCCCTAGGACTTGCAGAGGGAGTAGCTTAGTCGGCCCAGGACCTTGTGCCATTCGGGGGGTAGCAACATTCGAGTGGATCGCACATTCACCAAGAGCAACTGCCGTTGTGGTAAACGTTAAGTAGATTAGATCTTCGCATCGGTTTCAATGATTGAGACCGATGCGATGTTACAGCACCCAAACGTCAATGAAGAACAGAATTCAGAATTCCAGGATCTAGAAGCTGTTGGAAGAAGCGAGCTGACGCCTGAGACCTTCTTCGAAGCCCGCTATTGACAGTATGTGAGAATTAGTGTTTGCGAAGCAAATCAAAGTGGAAATTTGAGACATTTCGGTAGACTTTGGTCTCAACTTGAAAGTCATGATGGATGCAGCTTCTGCTGCTTTGTCATCGAACTCACGGTGTCAGGATCACGCCGTTGGCACGGGCTCAACCGAGGCTCGTGAGTCGTGTCTTCCTCAGGCGTTTTATGCAAATTTTTCGGCGTTTTCAGAGGTATCCCGACTTCGACCAGCAGCTCGCGATTGGTATCCCATTGGATGTTTGTTGCCGTCACTGCTCCTACTTTGAGGCCCGTCGTGGATAATTTTCCTTGCATGACGAGTCCTCGTGACAATTATGCCACCATCGCTCGCGCACATTTCATTCACATTCATACAACTGATCGGAAGGACTACTTACGCGGCATGCTACGGGTGACGCTGAGTGTGTCAATACTATTATTGTGTTCCTGCTTTTAACGAAGCACCAGCGACATTTATCAGACTTTGTAACTTATTGAATCCTAGTCCGGTGCATGATCATGATTGTATTTGCCTTTTGTGTGAGAGTTATGGTGGGATTGAGTTTTACGCGTGCTGGATGAACATTTACTCCCGAGTTGTGAGTCACGCGTAGCCTACTAAGGCTTCGATGATCATACTAGCCCTCGCAGACCAGTGGCAGTCCACCTCTACATTTGAAACAGCGATGAAATAGAGCCTGGGCTTAGTGTCGTTTTTGCAGCATCGTGCTTCTGGCATTGTGCTAATATTAGTAGTGAGTTCCACACTTATTTACGTCCTGGCTTATAAAATGGTCGTCAATAATCATAACATTCATCCGCATGATCATGACTCCAGAGCCTTTGCGGGCCCCGTGGATTGCAATCTTTACTCGCAGGCAATATGATATCATTTAGAGGAGTATCACAACATCCTTTATCGGTACCTCCTCCGTCGTTCGCTCGAACGCACTCAACCTTCAAACTCCGTTTCCGAGTCATAAACTTGGATCCAAGAACATCCTTAGGCTGCGGTTCACGTATACGAAGTCAGAACTCGTTATGCAGGTGACGACGATCAGTGAAGGCCATACGGTTTCGCACCATCCGACAATTGGCCCTGATCACAATCTCAAAGAGAGTGACAAACACAATGAACGATTTGAAATGCGAGTGGGGTCGTCTGCAAGTGATTCAAGAGCAGTGTCTATCTCTGACCTGAAAGTCCAAACGACACCTCAGCGGGTGCGCGCACGAGTGCAATTTGCGACGGTTTGTGGGTCGATGTATCTAGCCGGATGGAACGATGGGACAACTGGTCCATTGCTCCCCCGGATACAGAAAGTGTATGGCGTAGGTGGTTTTGAACACCTGCAGTTCTTTTTTAAGTTTACCCTCCTATCATCTTAACAGTTGAATTTCGTTGTCGTATCCCTCATATTCGTGTTCGCATGTATTGTAAGATCTCGCTGCAGTATGCAAGATTCACTGATCAGTCTGAGTTGCTCGACAGGGCTTCCTATCTGGAGCATTCGCAAACCTATATCTAGACGGTAGATTCGGTTTTGGGAAGGTAAGTTCATCTTCGATGATCTTTTTACGACCTCTGAGGCACGTTCCATGGTCCAGGTGATTGTGTTCGGTGAGGGCGAATTATTGCAAGCAGAGGTCATAATCGCCTTATCATTGCTCAGGTTCTGCGTGTCAAGTTCTAGCGTACGCCATAGAGGCGGGTGCCTTGCCATTTCCTGCATTCGTGTTAGGTTACGCCATCAATGGCTTCGGACTGGCTCTGCAGGTAAGTTATACAGGCGCAATGGATTCTACGGCTCGGATGAACCCTGAAATTAGTACACACAATCGAATGGTTTTGTGGCCAGTCTCAAGAGTAAACCCGAGGTGAAAATGGGGATCATCCATGCGGTAAGTGTTGTCATGTCCATGAACTCTCGGTTTATCTTGCTATTGAAAGGTATACGGTACGTTATACCTCTTTAATGGTGGTGCAACGCGACGGATGTTCCTATTTTCACTTTTCACTTTTTAGGTGCTGGCGCTTTGTCGTCTCCTTTGGCAGCTACACAATTTGCTCAGCTTCCGCATTGGTCACTTCACTACCTGTGTAGTCTTGGTATTGCATTCATAAACACTGTATTGTTGGTTGCGGTCTTTGGGTTGAAAACACAGGATGGTATGACAAGCATTTGTATCATCGAGAAGGTCGCTAAGCATCTCACAGAATGCCTCGCTCAGATTGGACAGCCAGCAGGCAAAAAGGGAACGAGTGAAAAGAGCCAGTTCAGCCAGATATTGCGGCTCAGAGAAGTACACCTTCTCGCCTTCTTCCTTTTGATATATGTAGGAGTGGAGGTCACTGTGGGTGGTAAGTATACAATTTAGTGGAGAAGATATTCACCCATATCATTACTCCAGGCTGGATGGTGACGTACATAATCTACGTGCGCGGAGGAGGTCCAAGTTCGGGATATATATCATCAGGGTTTTTCGGAGGTAAACTTTTCCAGGCATACTAGGCGTTCGACTGTTGATTTGTAAATAGGTCTCATGATCGGCCGTGTCGGTCTTTTGTGGGTGAACAAAACGGCGAGTCTCTATCCCGTTTATAGCATGCAACGTAACAGACCTCAAATTTCACAGGTCGGGGAACGTCGTGTTTTGTTCATTTACGTCATTTTGGCAATTGGGCTGGAACTAATAGTATGGCTGGTGCCTTCGCTCATTGGTGGAGGCGTTGCGATCTCCATAATCGGTATGCTTTTGGGGCCGATGTATCCCATTGCTGTGAATCACGCGGTACGAATCCTCCCTGAGTGGCTCATCACAGGTAATTCCATATTTAGTAGCACGAGTAGGGTCAACTGAAACCTGCATGTAGGGTCAATTAGCTGGATTGCAGGCTTCGGGCAGGCAGGTTCTGCGCTCTTGCCATTCTTAAACGGTGCCATTGCATCGAAGACGGGAATCAAGAGTTTACAGCCATTGTGGGTCTCCCTTATAGTCATGCCTGTGCTTGATAGATTGATCATTGGTGGCACAAAAGTCTCATCTCGATGATGGCGTTCATGATCGTCCTGTGGGCTTTAGTGCCGAGAACAGCTAGGAGAACTGAATGATATACGCTCCGTTGGCTCTGCCTTGTGGACGTTTGACGTGAAGCAATATATCTATCTAATGACCTCCTTCAATTTCGGTGACGAAAATAACACAGCAACGTTTGGAAATTTTGAGGAGAATGCATCTGATTTGCATTTCACTCCGTTTCAATCAGACGAAGGCGTGGTCTGAACAGACACTTCCATTATACATGGAATCAGGGCAGATGGACTTCATGACCTCTTGATCACCGCTGACGCAGACAGCATAGATTGGACCACAAACCAAAGATATAGAGACACGAACCTCAGTACCGTAGAAATACGATAAGCTCGTATCATCCCTGTTGCACGATACGAGTAGGTTTGGTCGAATTCTTAACTCGCAAGTATTGTGTCTGATAGTTTGCCTTGGACAATTTACTTCTCAATCCGAGTCGCACTGCTGTACAACGTGTTCAAGTCCCCAACAATGACCATGCTGGCATTAATTGTCAGTGAATGCATGGTTGTTACCATGTTTATATCGTGGCTCATCTGGGCAGCAAGAGTACCTCCAAGCGACTGGCTGAGCTCATGTTATCTGCCAGGAAACATCTCAGCACACTTTGGGGTTCACTAAACTTCATATGAAATGACCTTCTGAACCTGACCTGACCGCCAAGAAGGCTTCTAATAATGCATAAAACTGTTCGGAGGCCTATGCATCATGCGTCATGTATATTACCTGCGTCCCATCCCATGGGACCCACCCAAAGTCCGTGCATTACGAGAATTTGCGTCATGAAGCTATGGATATTATGAGCAAGTGTACCGTCATTAATTTAGGAGAATTAGTTCCGCACGAAATTGCCAATAGACCCACTATTACGCAGTACCATAGGCATAGACATAAAAGCCAGCCGTGTTCCTAGTACTATCTTCAGAATTATCTGATCCCATATCACACTGTTACTTGAAGTCACAGACAATGCGCTTCTCCTCTGCAATTGTACTCGTCGTCGTTGCTGCTTTAGCATCGTCAATCTCTGCCATCCCCGATGACATTAACGGCGGTGCCGGTAGATGTCCTAACTGGTGTACCAATGACAAAGCATGCAGGACCTGCCCACATGGAAAGTGTGTAAGTACTTGAAGGTATCGGTGGATTTGATGACATGACTCACCTGCACCACAGGACGGCTATTTTCACTGCTACTGAGGGCAGTAGAGGCGATAAATACGAAGTGATTGGGTGTTGCAAATTCAACATTGTATCATGTATATAGGCAACACCGTGACGTGTGCGGGGAAACGACGACATAAAACATGTCAACTTTTTTGCCGTGAATAAGTGCTTGAACTGGGACGGAGACGAGTACATTGAAAACAAAGGATCCAGCAAAGACCAGTTGGACCACCTTTCGCGCCTGTTATTCTCTCTCATTCAACTGTATTAAAATGATTCGGAAGAACACACGTACCTCCAGGTTGAACATTCCAAGTATGACTGGACTGGCAGAAAGTTGTGCAAGATCCATCTCCGAAGGCCGAAGAAATTGACAGCCATCAAATCTCGCATTCACGAACGTCAGCCAATCACGGCTGAGTTCGACGTCGCTTCCATCCAGATACACGGGCCGAAGCGTCTGTCAAGAATTATACCAACCGTCGATAGTCGGAACGCGCGCCGGACCAGAAGTCGACTCCACAGCGACTCCATTATGATCGGCAACAGAGCACGGCACATTGCAATTGTGCAGAAAAGAAAAAGATGCGGTGGAATCAGAACTCGCACCGTTAACCCGGATAAGAGCAGAAAGATCCAAGGACTTCAGTCGACAACTAGTAAGGAAGATCGAGACAACTTATCCATACGGCGTCACACCTGGTCACATGCACGTGATGATCGTCGAATTCACTACAGGCTTAGATGAATCCTTCATCTAGGCTCGTGACTAGCCTGGCGTATACTATCGTAGCGCTGACACGCCAGTTCCCGACTCCGCCGGCTCAATCCCTTTCCTCTCCCATTTCCTTCGTTCTTCCCACACATCGCTACCACGCTCCTACCCAGCAGACGTTTCGAGGGTGGGGGTCCCGTCTAGTACAGTAGTAAATAATCAAATAGAGCAATTTTTTCTCATCGACAATAATTCAAACATCGAACTTCTCCCTCCACCCTCTCAACGACCGCTGGCGCAAAACACAAGAAAACAAGTAAAGCCACACAGTGTTCTGCCGGTCAACGAACGTTTGCCAAAGTTAATGTACGTTCAGCGATGAACTTTCACATGAATGCAAGTAAACTGAACTTGTGGAGTACCAGAAGTCCTGTCTGAATATTATATAATCGCGTTGTGATTGGACAATGAAGCAAAAATGAACCACAGAGCCGCTGCCGCCGCACAGTCGAAAAACTCGTATCATCTGCTAGTAGCAACATATTCAATGTTCTCCGAGTCAGTACAGTATGAAACAGCAATAAATCTATTCAGCAAGGACATCATCAACTTGAGGAAACTCCGGATCTTCAATTCCTTCTGCATCTAAGTCGAGAAGCTCGTACAACTCGAGCTCAGCATCTAAACCTCGGATGGCTGTTTTATAGAAGGATCCTAGCCATTCCTCGGCGCGAGAGTAGTCGAGTAAATCACTGATAGGGATACGAGTGAATGGATCAGTGGTAGGTGCTGAGTGCATCATTTCCTCAGCAACAACAGCTTCCTCTTCATCAACAGCTTGAATGAGGTTGTGTGCGAGCTGACTTATCCCTTGCCTCTCGAAGGCAATGCTGCGCTGTTCTTGCTCACCACTTCCTGCATCTGAATCATTGGTTGCCTGTGTTTTGGCAGACTCTTTCTCGTCACAGTACTGGCACTTAAGCTGCTTCTTGATGACATTGTTGCGTACATGCTCTTCATGAACATACATCTTGAGTTCAGCGAGGAGCGTGAGGGTTTCTGTTGAGAGCCAATTTCGCCATTTCATGAGAATTGCGCCAAAGACACTGAAAAGGCGCTCGCAAGAGGCGGAATTTGGGCAGATAGAGAGAAGGTGCAGGGCAATAGAGTGAAGTGGTCTAAGTGGTGACCCAGGATGTGACAGTCTGTCCCAGATATTAATTGGATCAACTGCGATACCCTGAAGGCAATTTTAGTAATTTTTCTTGAAAAATCAACTTGACTGCAGACCTCCTTCTCAGCACGAGATAACAATGCAAACTTGTAGACATCTATGTGTGCAAAGTCATGGGAACCACTCATGTAGTCCTCTAGGTCTGTGTAAAGATCAAGTGGTGGCATCCGAGTTGAAAAAATGGCTCCAAAGACGTCCAAAAAGTGCTGCACGTGTTGTGAGAGGTATTTTTTTGAATGGCAAAATCTTGTAGAAAGGATTGACAATGACAGCAGCAATAAAACTTCTTGGTCACATTGTCCCCAGCGGTGTTCAGCACTTGCAAGAACAGCTGTACGAGCAGCGAGATCAGTGTGATTTCAATCTTGGAGTAACAAAGTGCAGGAACCAAATGAAATCACAACATGTTCAGGTCTTGCTTGGGCTGCTTGGTGAATATTTGTCAACATTTGGCCGGATCCTTTCGCTGACGAAGCATACCCATGCTCCGTTTCACCACCTGACTGATCCTGCGGACAGTCCCCTTGCCCTTACCGTCCGGACGGTAACCTATGATATGATGCACGACGCATCCCCTTTGCCCTGTTCCCATTTTATGATCTCTGACTCGGTGCACAGTCGCACATGCGACTGATACTTAGATCTGCAGTTGCACGATCGTGCCCCTGCGCGTTTCACTTCTTATTTTCGATCGTTGACTCACTTTCTTATCTAGCACGTTCTACCCAGATCGAACGTGCCTTCTTGTTATGGTCTTACCCTTTACCGATTGCCTCTCCCGGTAGTACGAGTTATCATCCACTAATACGTTTCCTGTCCTCTATATAAACTCGCTACCATGTACCATATTCCCTAACTTGAATCTACTTGGTTCTTGACCTCCTACTCTCACCAGAGTGATCCTTCTGCCTCGCCAGCAGTCTATATTCTATCTTCTTATTTGCTCATCGCAGATAAGCCTATAGTCTCGACCTTTACTCATCGACTTCGTCGACGAGCAAAGCCCCTGTTAACTAGTCGGACTTCTGTCCTTCTAATTAACGACGATCCTTACGATTAACCTTCGGGTGTCGTAAGCCTAGGCCGATATAGCTTATCGTCTCGCATCTGCGTGACATAAGCTACCCGATTTGGACATAGGCGTTAAATCGTACTTGCCGAAGACACGCCAAGTACGACCCCTAACCTTGGGCTAGCCCAAGGACGTCCACAGACCGTTGACGACACAAGCTCTGTTGAGCGTCGCCAACAGATACTATCCAAGTCGTAACAATGAGGGAGATTGGTTTGAGCAGAGTTTTCCATCTACGAAGAGAGTTAGTTTCATTTCATAAAATTTTATTATTTACTTTACCGTGCCATTGCATGCCAGAATGTCGTGTTTTTTATTGTGTTGATAGCAGTTTGAGTCTTCCTGCGTGATCGTGCATCTCCGCTTGACATTAGATTAGCCTCATGCTTTGTAACAAGCAGTTCAAGGGCAGGTCAAAGCTCAAGAAGACGACAATATGTGAGATAGTGTGATAACCAGCGTGTCAGCACTGCTCTGAGAACCGCGAGTGTTTTTCCAATGGTTGCCATCTGTATCCCATAGTCATCTTTGACCTTGAAAAGGTCTCTGACAATAAGATTCCACTTATAAATCACCTGTAAGTACAATTTCATATCAGTTCCAATGTAAATTGTCATACCTGATGAGCTACACAATCAGGAACAACAAGGTGCAGAAATTTCTCTTGAAGTAGATGACAGGCCTTTTGAGATTCGCCAGATGCATCTGTAGTGCATGCAACCACAGTGGCCCCCCATTCAGTCTCAATCTTGCTGATTGCCTCTAATATCTGCCGAAGAAGTTCTTCGGCTGTCCGAGGATCCCTTGATGCATCGTGAACTTTGACTGTATGTAACTACATTGACAATTAATTAATATTCTTGACACTCGCAGCCTTCACGGACATACCTTTCTCTGTGCTGTCATCATGAAGCCCAGAAGGTGATGATAATTTTCACCTGTCCAGCCATCACACTGCAAGGTTGCATTGGCACCTCGGCATTCATCTTTAGCAATAGTCTTAAGTGTGTTGAGGGTTTGCAGCATGACACGTTGTGTAAGGACTTTCGCTGAAGGTATTTTTGCTCGAGGAAGGAAGTGATCACATAAAACTTTCCATTTGTGATTCTCGACCCATCACAATGGTAAACTGGCACTTGCAGTGAGCCTTGCAAGGCCAATCTCCCAACCAGCTTGGTCTGAAGCTGACCAAGGTTGGTCACATAGAGACTTTGTCCCAGCACAACTGGGGAAAGAGGTGGAAGCGAGCCGGAAACAGAGTGGAACAAACCAGATTGATTTAGATGTTGGCGTTTCCCTAGCTGGGATGGTAATGAAACTGCGGAGAGTGCCGGACTGACTGAAAGAGAGTTGCGGGTATAGAGACTAGAGGAACCTGATGACACAGTCTCAGGAATCAGCAGGGTAGGCAAAGGGCGCACAGACTCGGACTCTGGAACAGATGGAGCATTAAGAGCTGGCGTGGTGAGAATTATTGGTTGTATACCAGTCGGCACTGTCATATGAGCCCAATTATTTTTTCGTGGTGAATGTTGTTCATGGTATTCGAGTCGTGCTTGTGAACAAATGTCTTCTGAGTGCAATTCACATTCGTGCAAGTGATGTAACAGTGTCGATGGCCAACTAATCAACCAGACATGCTGGGAATCGTTCTTATCAATAGCCCATACTATATTTCAAAGTTAGCAGGAGACACTGGCAGTGGTTACACAAGAGTTCACGTACAAGCACCTGCAATTGCAGCTTCGTCTCTTGGTATATCTCACTGGCCTGCTTGAATTTGCTGCTCGTCGAGTGCCTGCTCATGAGTTATGTGTTGCTCATAAAGCCTCGCACATATAACTTTTGCCTTTCCGCTGACTACAGAGGCACTTTCTTTCACAGCATAACCTGGGTGCACTACGAAGTGGTCCCACCACCATCCTCTGTTTGATTTCTTGCCAGTCTTCGTCATCGAGGAATTCAAGTCAGTAAAGGTGTGTTGAAAGATGAAATTGGCAGTCTATTGTCAGGCCGTGAGTTCTTAAAGTGTGCCTCCAGCCAAACAGGTGAAAGCCGCATGTTTATAACGAGACTGCGCAGTGTGCAAAGATATCAATTTGATAATCATTGATCAATATTGATATGGTATAGTCTGACATGGTAGGACCAGAGAACCGCTCGAAGTCATGTTCAAGTAAATGACGATGAACTTCACCAGTTTTCCCATGAAACATGGTCAATAACCGTGACCTTGAGTCACTGACTGGCAGAACACTGCGAGGCTCCGCACCTGTGGACCAATTCACGCTTGAGCCAATTTGGCAAGTGTATACTAGAGTTCACGCATTTTTGGGAAAACATCTATAACTCTACAACACATCCACATAAAAATATAATTTTTTAACGGATGGATAGCCTGACATCGAAAGTACAAGGCCCGCTAGATTTTTCTTTTAAAATTGATGTGTTGAGTCCAGCAGAGACTTACCGCGCAAAAAGTGCAGTTTTCCCTAGAGTTTGCGCATTTTGTCACACCATGTCACACGTCTGCCGCGGTGCCATTTCACATTCCACACCGTTCGAAAGCCTACCGCAGCGATCTGTTTGAAGGGCGCACAGTGGAGTTTAGATGTGTGTAGTCTCATTGTAACACTTTGGATAAATTGCCACATCTGGGCTGTATTTCATTCACAGCAGATGATCCTGACAAGCATGTAGCCCCAGAAAAATTTATTTTAGCATTCTATAATCATGTATAACCATTATATCGCATTCCAGATTTTTCTGTGGAGATCTGACCTCAAGAAGAGAGTCATCTATGCACAAAATGAGCCTCAAACACCTATAACTCGACCATGGCACGAGATCCACTTCATTTCTTGCCAAAAAAAATTACATGGTCATGTGTATTATGTTGGGAGGAACCTATATACAACATACATAAGGATTCTGTGCAGAATTGCATGTGCTAGAGCCAATGTGTGAATTCTAGGGACACGTGAACTTGTGGGACTATTTAGTAGAGTTGTCTGCACCGGTATCAATTCGCTAAGTATGACCATTACACATGCACAGGTACTTTGTATCCTGCAAACACTCATGGAACTCAATGTCTCTGTCTCAGCCTTTGTAATTTCTCTCTTGGAATTCCCCCATGAATTCTCACAATTTCCCATCAACGACCTGGCTGCTCACTTTACAACAATCTTGGCAACTTCTCTTGCTCACCCAAATCTCAATTCATTGATTGTCTCATGGGTGTCCACCTTATGTACTGAGCGGCCGGATTGGTGACAATGACATGATACTGACCTTCTTCTATAGCCTATGTCAAACAATTTGAGGTTCAAGCCAAACTTCTTGCAGTGAGTCTTACTTTGAAGTTTGCATTCAGTTGCAGTCTCGGCATGTAGTGCAAGTGCCTTGATACACGATTTCTCCAATGCAGCAACATTCTGGGTACCGAGAATGTTGAGGGGAGTGACAACAATCTGTATTCCTTGGGGGTGGAATAATAGAGGCATCCAAAATGTCAATGTTTTTCTGGAGCCAGTTGCAGATATTGAAACAACATCTTGGTCATTGTTGGATTGTCATCGCCGTCATTTCTCATAGCACATTTCCTTTCTTACCTTATCACATGTTTCATCTCATATAATATGTACCATCTTTGTTTCCTCATACCTTAGTCGTTGTCTCACAACACTGAGGTATGTTCTATGGTCTATCATGTCCTGCCGTCGGTACTTATAATGTCTAGTCATTGTCTCACAACACTGAGCATGTGTCATGTGTCAGCTCCTACAGGTTATGAGCCAATCTTGAGCTTAATCACACCTATCACATCTTCCTGTTCTAGACTTCCTTTGACATGGGGAAACTTGATCACATTCCAGAGCTGACAGGCCTGGACACTTATTTCATGTGGAAATGTGAGGTGGCTTATGCCCTTGGTATTGAGGACCAATCGTGCCATGTCACTGACACCGTGGACCTGGACGATGTATTAGGTAGCATGTCATATAAGCCTACAGCAGCAGTCCCTGGTGCTCCCACAGCGGTTGAGACTGCGGTGATTCGTGAATGGCTGATCAATGACTTAAAAGCAAAAGCCATTATCACACGCCATCTATCTGTCACTGTCCAACAACTGATTTCGACCAGTCATAAGATTACCACTCGGCACACATGGAAAACTCTCGAAGACCATTTTGGACATGTAGACATGGGATCTCAACACATTGTTTGCCAGCAGTTATATACGCTGCAGATGAAAGATGCTGTGGACGCATCTAACTATGTCAGGCAGCACTCTGTCCTTCGTGAATGTCTCCTTCAGATGGGGGTGACTTATATGGATGCTGAAGCTGTCTTTCAATTACTTAGGGGACTCCCGCATTCTGGCTCTTGGCCACAATTCAAGGCTCTGCTCACCATCATGCTTCCCACTGCGTCCACCACCATCACACCAGCACCTGGCGCGGCTGTAGCTCCAGTAGCTCCCACCCCTTTGGCCTTTGATGTATGCGTGGCGCACATCTCTGCTGAAGCAGTGAGGATTGTTGATGACGAGCAAAGTGTGGGAAACTCACGTGCGATTAGCACGAGAGCACAGGAACATGAAATGTGAAAGTAGCGAAAATGCGAAATAAGACTAGCAATAGACGAGGGCTCAATGAATGACTACTAAAAGGACTGCTAATAAATTTTGACTCTAGCTATAGACATGATGGGGGAACTCCACTAGGGTAAAGTGTGGTGTAGTAAAGGGTGAAAAATGCGGTCCTATATATGTATCTCGCTAAGTGAGCCGAGTAGGAGATAATGTATGTAATAAGGTATGTAAATCAGGGTCCATGCTCTAATATGGTGCCATTTTGATAAAAATGCAGAAATACGTACCAGTGAGACTTGCTGGACAGTGGATGGATGCTCCTGGATGATAGGGCGATGGAAGCGCAGAAAAGCGAGCGATGCAAGGGCATCGCAAGGCGCGGGAAAGTCGCGCGATGTGGGAAAGCATCACCTGATATGGAAATAGCTTGGGAAAGGTCAGGGAATGATGCTGCAAGTTGGTGCTGCAAACCCAGGTGGTATGGACTGAAGTATTACACGTTGCAAGCCTGTAATTATGTGAATCTCTACACCATCCGCTGACAATGCGAGGTTCTCCTGCCTAGTGGCAGCAGGTTTCAACACAATTCTCGACTCTGGCACTACTACGACCCTCATCTGTGACCAGTCATACTTCTGGTCATACTCCATGGCAGACACTGTTACCGTACGCACTGCAAATCATGGCAGCCTCACCACATCGGGTCATGGAGACTGCGTTGCTATCCTGTTGATTGGAGGAGCCAGATACCATATTTGCCTCTCAAACTGCTTGCATGCGCCATCAGCAATGTTGAACCTACTATCTGTGGGTTGGATGCTCAGCAAAGGCTGGGACTGTGTATTCAGGGCATCACCTCCTCGGTGCAAACTCATCTATTGAGGAACTGAGTTGGGGGCTATTCCCATGGCAAACAACTTATGCTATGTAAATCTCAAATTTCTCCCTGCCCCTGTCGATCAACGCACTGTCCATACACCTAGCATACCTTCATCCCCTCCAGACATATCAGCATTCACTCATGTCACTCTGAATCTTGACCTTATGGCATGCACAACTGGGCCATATCGGGGGTGAGGCTGTCCATTGTTTGCCCTTGTTTGCCACTGGCACAACAGTTCCTACCGATTCCACTTTGTCCAAGTGTGAATCTTACATAATGGCCAAACATCCTCGGCGCCCTCATCCACCTTCAGAGTCTCCACATGCTGCCCATTTCCTGGATCTGGACCATTCCGACCTTTGCAGGTCCCATCCCAGTTGTCACTTCCCACAATAAGTGCTACTTCATCATCTTCCTTGACGATCACACCAATGTCCTGAACCTCCAACTTCTTGCGACAAAACATCAAGCCATTGATGCATGGTGTCTTGTTCACACTAGATGGGAAAATTAATTGGGGTGAAGGGTAAAAGTGTTCCGTTTGGACAATGGGGGTAAGTTTTTAAATGCAGCATTCACTGGGGAGCTTGAATTGGCTGGCATCATCCATCAACTTTCTGCACCATACGCACATCAGCACAATGGCAAAGCAGAACAGGTAATACATACTATTGAAGGGTGGATGTATGTGATGCTCAATCACACCCGGTTTCTGCATAGTTTCTGGGGTGAGGCTGCCCTCACAGCAGCATACCTCTTCAACAGATCAGAGATGTGCTCCCTCAAACCTGAAATGACGCCTTACAAAATGCTCCATGGCACCAAACCAAATATCTTGCACCTTCAATTGTTTGGTGCATGTTGTTTCATACATATTCCAGCTGAGTTGCAAGAGAAACTGGGACCACATTCATGTGAAGCAGTGTTTATGGGTTATCCTCCAGGTGTTAAAGTGTGGCATTGCCGTGATTCTATCACTGGCGCATTTTTCAATTCTCGTGACGTCATTTTCGATGAATCATTCTCTTCATGCCCATACCCCAATGACAGTGAGGACAACAAGGATGATGGAGCAGCAGTGCCACATCATGGCCTGCTCCCTGCCCCTGCACTCCCTGCCCCTACTCTCCCTGCCCCTACTCTCCCTGCCCCTGCCCCTGTCCCTGGTCCAGGACCAGCACCAATCACTCGTCGTTCCGGCAGAGCCCATCATCCCACTGAACATGGACGTCAGTATCAAGACAAGCTCATCGTGGATGCTGCTCGCCTTGAACGTCAGCGAGAACTACGCCAAGCTCATATTTAAGGTACTCCCCCTCCTGACAATCCCGATGCACCTATACCTCCTGTCCCCATCCTTCCACACCCAGGGCTTCTTCCTACGTCCTCTCATCCTCTTGCCAATGCGGATCCTGATGACGATATGATTCGCCCTGATTCCAAGACAATGGGTTTCCACAATGCACTTGCCAATCTCATTGTTAGTGAACAGGCTTGTATCACCATTTGCAGTGACTCCCGCCGCAAGCCACAAGCCCTGGGATATAATATGAAAATCCCACCCAACACCTACGATGAGGTTATGTGGTGTTCAGATCGAGACTCCTGGCTGGCTGCCATGAAGTGGGAAATGAATCTAATGTAAGAAATGGGTGTTTACGAACTCGTTCCTCTGCCAGACAATAGACAGGCCATAGGTTGTTATTGGGTTCTCGAATTCTGGGAAGACTTGAAGGGTGGATCTGTTTACAAAGTGTGACTTGTAGCACAGAGATTTTCTCAAGTACCAGGTATCGATTTTGGTAAACCCTTTGCGCCTGTAGCCAAAGCAGCTTCTATTTGCATCATCTCTGCACTCACAGCTCACAACAATTGGGAACTTGACATGTTCGATGTTAAATGTGCCTTCTTGTGGGGGAAATTGACCAAGGATGTTTATATGTGTCAACCTCCCAGTTTCAAGTGCTTTGACCCTAACTTCAACTTCCTCATCTGCCACCTACTATCATCACTATACGGTTTGAAGCAGGCTGCCTATGATTGGTACAAACTTTTGCGAGAAGTTCTGACACATCTAGGTTTCCTTTGAGTGGAAGCTGACTATGCCATTTTTGTGTATGACCACATCAACAGGAAGGGGGAGAGAATAGTGTGCATTGTGGCTTGGCACGTTGATGATGGACTTGCAATGGCCTCCAACCATCCTTTCCTGATTGACATCAAACAACAGATAGCTCAATGTTTCGGTCTCTCTGATCTCAGTCCAGTTTCAAAGCATCTCGGCATTCAATTTGAGTGCAACTGAATGATGTGCGAACTTTGGATGCACCAAATGGACTACATCAATTATCTCCTCAACAAGCATGGCATGCTCAGATGTAATTCCATCATGCTCCCAATGGACCCTCATTTCCCATTCGGTTGTGATACTGATGTCCATTCCCATGTTGAGAATTTGATCACCGAATACTGCAAACTCATTGGAGAACTGCTATACCTGGCCATGTACACTTGTCCAGATATTGCTGTGGCCATCATGAAGCTCGCTCAGCACAACAGCTCCCCTGAGCCTCGTCACTATGCTTCGGCAAAACATGTTCTTTGTTTTCTCGCTGGTACAATTGGACTTCGCACGCATTATGGGGGTGCTACATCAGCACCTAAACTCCATGGATTTAGCAACTCTGACTGGGCCAGCTGCCCTGAAGACCATATTTCCATCACAGGCTATATCTGGTTCTTCAATGGCAGTCCTGTCTCACATTCATCAAAGAAACAGCTCACCCACGCGCTGTCTTCCACTGAGGCCAAATATATGGCTCTCATGGCATCTATTCAAGATGGACTCTGGCTGTTATCATTCTTTGAGTGTCTGAAAATCCCTGTCACTTTGCCCCTTCACATCTTTGCCAATAACACTGGTGCGATTGCACTGTCAGAAGAAGCTGCCAATCATATTCGCCATATCAACCTTCGCTATCACTTCATTCACTCTCACATCGAAAACAGCACTTTTAAACCAGAATGGCTCTCCATGCACCATAATGTCGCCGACATCTTCACAAAATGTCTTCCTTGTCCTT